TGATCCTATTGTGACTCGATTGTTCATTAGTACCCTAAAAGGGGTAGCTTTTGAATGGTTTCGCAGACTTAAGCCAGGGTCAATACAAAGTTGGAGGGTTTTGGAGAGGCTTTTTCTAGCCCGATTCTTCAACGATGACACTGAGGTGTCTATGGCCACGCTATTGGCTGGGAAGCAGAAGAAGACGGAGTCTATCAGTGACTTCGTCAAAAGATTCAGAAATTGATTATTGCATTCACGTGATCAAGTTTCTGAAGCTACTCTTTCTATCAACATCTTTCTATCAACATCTTGTCTAAGATGGGCGTTGTGGAAGCTCGTTCATGGAAAGATTTGGTTTGGTAAGGAGAGCAGGTGGAAAACATGCTCAATAGAATAAATGTTGAAGAACCTCAAGAATCCCAGCCTAAAAAGGGAGGAGGTAAAGGCAATTATAATTCCCAGAAACAATCAAAAAGGAAGGATACTCTAGTAGTTGAAACAACACCATCTCTGAAGTCTTCAACGAAACAGAAGGGAAATACTTCCGATAATCGTTTTCAGAAGAAATATGATTTCAAAGATGAACATGTGGTTTCTATTCTTACATCTTTGATCAAGATGAATAAGATCAAATTGTCAGAGGTAAAATGGAACGCAGAAGTATCAAGGACTGACTATCCTAACTTTTGCATGTATCACAGAATGGTGTATCATCCAACCAAAGCTTGTTACATCCTGAAGGATAAAATTCAAGCTTTGCTTGACGCAGGTGTAATGACCCTTCAAGTTGAGTGATGATCACATTTTATTACAATTTTATACCCTCATTATCTATTCTATATGAATAAATATACCACTAATAACTGTTTTTATCTTTAATAACAGGTTAATAAAGAATAAATCTCAACTTCTCATCTCTCAACAAAAACCCATTGATTAAATGAAGAAATAATTTAAGAAGCCAAAGTGAAATTTTCGAATTTGTGAAGACCCAAAGCAAAAAAGATTACACAAGGGAAACAAGACCGGATGCAAACAAGATTGGATTTTTATGCAAAGTTGGAATGAAAGGGACTTGAATGCAAAAATGTGGAATTTAATGAATGGAGGCCAAACTTAGTTGCTGCTGAGATGTGAACTTGGCTTTTTGGACTTGGGTCGGACATGTTTAAAAATCAAGTGGAGCTTTGAAGACTTAGCTTGTTTAAATGACTTGGGCCGAATTTTCAAAATCAAATGGGCCAAACATGAAGAGCTCAACAAGTCCGGTTTTTAAAGAAAAAAAATCAAATGGGAAAACATGATTGCTGCAATTTTGGAGACTTGGAAAATCAAGGCTTGGGCCGGACTTTATTAATTTTGAAATGGAAATGTTTGAGTGGGCCAGAGACTCATGAATTGGCTTTTAAACTCAAGTGGGCCGGATTTGTTTTTTTTTATCACATGAATGTTGATTTTAGCTCACTCTTCAAGTGGGCCGGATTTCATTCTCTTTTTAAAAATCAATTGAAGATTGAGCCTTAAAAAATCAATTGAAGATTGGGCTAGAACCAAATTCAAAGGTGGAGATTGTTGCTTGGGGCTCAAGACAAATCCAATGGCTCATATTCTTTGAAGATTACTATAAATAGGGGTAGAGAGTGAAGGGTTAGAGATGTGAAAATTTTGTAAACTCCTTTTGGAGAGGATGGCTACTCTTAATTGAGAAGGCCTTCCAAAAATTGTAACTTTAGTTGCAATTAATAAAAATAATTTTTTTCTCTTTAAATTTGTTCTTTCTCCTCTTGTTGAATGATGAGGATGGAGATAAAGAGCAATTTGAAGGTTTGCATTTCTTTTCTCTTTTATTTCTTTCTAGTAATTTCTTTATTATTGCTTATTAGTTAGATTTAAATTCATGCTTGTAGTGTAGATTTATTTTCTTGTCTTTTTTATTTCTTTTTGCACTTTAATTTGTAGAGTAGATTTATTTTTCTTGCATTTAATTTCTGCAATTTATTTTGTAGTTTAGATTTTTATTTTCTTTGTAATTAAATTTATTTCTTGTTCATAGTTTAGATTTGTCTTTTCTTTTTAATTTTGTAATTAGTTCTTTTTCTTGTTTTTATTTCTTAAAGATGTGAATTTAATTCTTGTAGGAAGTTTAGAATTATATGAAACTAGTCTAATTTCCTTTATTTTTTATGAATTATTCTCTTGCACTTAAAATATTCATGTTTAGGATAATCAACTAGAGAACTAATCGGTAGAAGAAGAATTTGATAATCTATGTTTATCTTAAATGGTTTGATAGGTTATGCTTATGAATTCTAGGATTATTATCATGTTGTTGTTCTTATCATGAATAGTAGTTTTAATTTAGATGATAATTTGATAGGTTACACTTTCCTTAAATGGTTTGATAAACTATGTTTAATAAATCTAAGTTTAAATATGATAAAAAGAGAATAGTTTATATTTTATAATTGAAATTGGTTAGTGGATTATATTCTAGATTTCTTACCTCTTTTGAATCCTCCATCTTAACTTTCTTTTCATTCTTAGTTTTATTTCTTGATTTTATTAATTCATATTTCTTGCCTTGTGATTTCATTTATTCTTTTATTCTTCCTTCTCTCCTCTAAAATTCAATTTATTATCTTTTGCATATATTCACAACAATCACTCATCACAATCACACTTATTCTTTATTCCTAATTGTCATGCACAAAACATAAGAACCATTTCTAATAATCTCTTAAAATCACTTTCCTCGTGGGATCGATATTTTTTATACTATAACTTGATAAATTGTGCACTTGTAATTTTGGTACATAATTATGCCGCATCATTGAGCATTAGAAGGTATCCGCGAATATGGTCTCACTTCAGTTTGGAGATTTCGCAGAGGTGCAAGTACAAAACGGCGTGAAACCGATTCCTTAAGAAGAGGCGAGAGTAGTGAACTTCGACCCGCATAAGAAGAAAGAAAAGGGAATGGTTCTACACTACTTCTAAAGGTGAATTGATGTGGGTTCATCCTGACTTACTAATGGACAAGCAGTGGACATTAGCAATGTCAACGAAGTCTAAATCCAAGCAAATATCTTGCAACGCTATTTCAGCCTTCCCAGATGAAGGGGTCGAAACTGCATCACTTAGCAGTTCTGAAAATGAGCAGCCAACATTCACTTCACAACCTGCACAGATAACAAGAGTATTTGAAGAAATATTCTGAAACGGCAACCGCACCACCCAAACTGGGGAAAGAAGTAATCGAGCAAACACAAACGAAGGAACTTCATTACAATAAGGCCCTCAAGAGATACACCAGAGAGCTCGAAAGACTCTTTTCAGTTTGATGTGCTGGCTCAGTTAGCCAACATCCTGGCGAGGATTACGCTGTTTGAGCTTCTGCGTTTATCTCGATCGATGAGAGAAGCTCTTCGTTAAGCATTGGTAGATAATGAGGCTTTCCTCACTCACTTTCCACCAAACCCAGCCGGAGCAATGCTGAAAGAAGCTTGCCCTCAATGTTGTTAAGTTTTTCAAAGAAGAATGTCGTGCATCACATTTTTTCAAGAAGACATGCACGTGAGAAACCTGAAACATGATAGACCGTTGTACTTCATAGGCTATATCAGCTCTATTCGGGTACACAGGATTCAGGTTGACCTTGGTTCTGCGTTGAGCATCATACCATTGAGGCTCATTCATCACCTTGGAGTCCCTCTGCATCGTTTATCAACAACGAGAACCACCATATATGGCTTTAATGCCTCTAATACTCGTCCCCTTGGCAAGATCAAACTCAAATGCTAGATGGGTGACTTGAGGACGAATGTCACTTGCTACGTTATCGATGCAGAAACGTCTTACAATTTGTTATTGGGTCGACCATGGATCCATAACAATTTGATAGTTCCATCAACTCTACACCAATGCATGAAATATGTAGGTGAGAGTGGTGAGGTCAAAACAGTGGTCGCAGAGAAGTAACCATTTAGGGGGGTTGAGAATTATTTTACTGATTTTATTCATTACTTTGATGGTGAGCCATTTGAAGTACCGCTAACTGAAGAACCATATAGCGGTAATGAGGCCAATATCGAGTCTGAGCACGAACAGAGTCTTGTTTTTAATGACATAGAACCCGTCGTAATCGGTCTTAAAAATCTGGATGTAAATGATCCTGTCTATGAAGACAACAGAGTTATCTTTAATAATAATGACGATTTAGCTTACTTATCGCGTGTTGAATTGAATCCTAACGTGCCAGGTATAAGCGCTAAAGTGGTAGCGGATCCGCTATCCAAGTTATATGCTGAATCAAATTTATACATGTCGATTCAGTCGTCTTTTGTGACAAATCGACAACGAATCGAATCTTCACAGGCAGTCTTCGGTCCGGAGCAAACTCTTTTGGAAGAATCCGAGAAGGAGGAAAGAGATCTGCAATTCTCGTACTTCACTCTAACAATCCGAAAGCTTATGAAGAATATGGGATATTTGACTTTATCCATAAAGAAGGCTTAAATTTTGGTAGAGGGATTCGGACACCAATCTGATCTGATTATGTCCCGGAAGGAAAGTTGGAAGACTATTATCACAAAACTCGCAGTGGATTAGGTTATGAATCCCCACCATTGATGCTGCATTTTGGAACCAAATGAGAGTCAGATGACGATTCTCCCACATCATCTTCTGAATCTAGTCACTGGGAGTTTGATATCAGTATAGGAACTATGTTCAGAACACTTATGGCCAACATGACTTCAGCATCTCCAATAGAAGATCAAGAAGATGACCAATTACCCCTGTTTGATGATCCGCTAAGTCGACAACTAGGTATACAGTGGGAACATCGCTTTGAACAACGCAAACCTCCTACTGATGACAAAGTGATTCAAGTGAATATGGGAGATGAGATTAATCCAAAACCCATATTCATAAGTGATAGTTTGTCGCCCGAAGAGAAGGAAGACCTTATTACTCTAATACGAGAGTATATTGATGTCTTTGCTTGGAACTAGGAGGATATGCCCGGGCTTGATCCCCAAGTAGCTATGCATCGATTAAACATCAAACCAGATATCAAGCCTGTTAAACAACAGCAAAGGAGATTTCGGCCCCAAGTCATAGAAGCAATTGAAGCTGAAGTCAAAAAGCTCATTGAGTCAGGATTTATTCGCGAAGAGCAACATCCTGATTGGGTGGCCAACATCGTCCCTGTTCTAAAAAAGAATGGGAAGATTCGAGTGTGCATCGACTTCCGAGACTTGAATTCGGCTTGTCCTAAAAATGATTTTCCTTTACCTATCATGGACGTCATTATTGACAATACGTGCGGGTTTGAAAGAATATCTTTTATGGATGGATTCTCAGGGTATAACCAAATCAAAATATATCCTGATGATGAAAAGCACACATCCTTTCGGACACCTTCAGGGATATACTATTATACAGTAATGTCTTTTGGATTGAAAAATGTGGGTGCTACCTATCAATGTGCTATGACCTCTATCTTTTAAAAACATCTACGGAAGACTGTAGAATATTATGTTGATGACTTGGTTGTTAAAAGTCATGACAAGGGAAACCATTTGCACGACTTAAAAATAATGTTTGATCTTATGCGGGCACACCAGCCAAAGATGAATCCAACTAAGTCATTCTTAGGAATGGCTAGTGGTAAATTTCTCGGATTCGTGATCACAGCTAACAGAATTCGTCTAGACCCAGACAAAGTCAAAGCCATCCAAGAGCTACCACCTCCTAGGAATCTTAAGGAGCTTCGAGGCTTACAAGGGCGACTGGCGTATATTCACAGATTTATTTCTAACCTGTTAGGGAAATACCAACCATTCTCAAAACTAATGAAGAAAGGAGTATCCTTCATGTGGGATGAGGCTTGCCAGAAAGCATTCGAGGAGATTAAACGATATCTCTCCAATCCATCGATATTGGTTACACCAAAGTCAGGTAAGCCTTTCCTGATATACATCAGGGCTACAAATCATGCATTGGCAGGACTCTTAGCACAAGATGATGAAAATGGCCATGAGCAAGCTGTTTACTATCTTAGTAGAACTTTATCAGGTGCTGAACCTTGTTATCCTCTTATTGAGAAAGAATGTTTGGCACTTGTCTTCACGGTTCAGAAGATGCGACATTATTTGGTTGGGCAATCCATACATGTCATTTCCTAGATCAATCCTATTCGGGTATTCATGACAGAGCCTAGTGCATTGAACTGGCGAATCGCCAGATGGGCTTTCCTGCTTTCCTAATATGATATTCACTTCAAACCTCAAAAGGCAGTGAAGAGTGTGGCTATTTGTGACCTTATGACCAATCATCCATTAAAAGAAAAGGCCGAATTGTACCAAGACATACCTGATGAGACGTATGAAGAAACATCGTCTCTAGAGAGCAGGTATAGCAATTATACTTCGATGGTGCAGCAAGGACAAGTCCTACCGGTCGAGCTAAAGCCGAAGTGGGGGTTATCTTTATCTACCCCCAAAATCATATACTCCCACGCTGGGGGTTGTCTTCATCCCCCCCCCCCCCAAAATCATATACTCCCACGCGTCATTTCTTTAACAGAGCCGTGCTCTAATAATGTGGCTGAATATAATGCTTTGTTGGTTAGCCTAAATATAGCTAAACAGCTGGGGGTGAAATACTTAGAAGCGTATAGCGATTCTCAACTCATTGTTAATCAAATGGAGAATATGAAGTTAGGAATGAAGACCTCATTCCTTACCATACTGCAGCAATCACATTAGCTGATTCTTTTGAGAGCTTCTACATCGACTACGTACCCCGTCTCAAGAATACCTATGCTGATACATTGGCGTCACTTGCGGCTACATTAGCTCTACCTGAAATAACTACCTAGCAAGTCATAGTGACAAGCAGACAATAATTCAAATTAAAGTATACATTACAGATCAACACAATTGAAGATGTGACCGCAATGCTCGACCCTAAGGATTAGCGATTTCTGATTATTGATTATGTCTTATATGGCTTATTGCCTGAAGATATCAAGGAAAGAGAATCTATTCGTAGACGAGCACCTAGATTTTATTATGATTCTCAATCCCAGACTTTGTATCGAAAGTCATACGATGGGATTTTGCTTCGCTGTTTGTCAAATAGAGAAGCAAAAAAGCTCTTAAAGAACCTCATGATGGCATCTGTGGAGCTCATCAGCCTAGTCATAAATTGTAGGACCGACTATGAAGATTGGGTTATTACTGGCCTAATATGGTTCAAGATGTTGTCGCCTGTGCCAAATGATGCCATGCCTGCCAAATACATGCTAATTATGTGCATCGACCACCCGAACATCTTCATCCGTCAACTACTTCGTGGCCTTTTGAAACGTGGGGGATGGACGTTGTTGGTCCAGTAATCCCACCCTCTTCCAAGGGACATTGCTTTATTTTAGCAATAACTGATTACTTTTCTAAATGGGCAGAAGCAATCACGTTAAGAGAAGTCAAGACAAGTGATGTTGTTAAATTCTTAGAACATCACATCGTATACAGATATGGCGTCCCGAGGTGTATCATTCATGACAATGGGCCCTAATTCGTTAACCAAGCATTTACCCGATTCTGTGATAAATTCAGGATCAAGAATTTGGCTTCGACAGCTTATAATCCTGCTGCTAATGGGCAAGCAGAAGCATTCAATAAGACCATCGTCAGAATTCTTACTAAGGTGGTTTCGACGAATAAAAGAGATTGGAACGAGAAGTTGGGTCAAAGCTTATGGGCTTATTGCACAACGGTTCGCACGCCGACAGGAGCAACACCATATTCCTTGGTATATGGATATAAAGCCGTATTACCATTGGAAATCCAAATTCCGTCTCTGCGAATAGCGCTTGTAATTGGTATGACGACGGAAGAAAGTCATCATCGACGTCTTGAAGAATTAGAAGCGCTTGATGAAAAGCGACTATTGGCTCAGCAACACATTGAGCTTTATCAAGCTCAGATTTTCAGAGCATTCAATAAAAATGTTAGATACCGCACATTCAAAGAAGGCGACTTGGTTCTTGCTGTTCGATGCCCAATGATTTTGAACTCTAAGAAGAAAGGGAAGTTTGAGCCAAAATGGGAAGGACCATTTGTAGTAGAAACTGTCTACTTAAATGGAGTTTATCACCTTATTACTCAAAATAGTGACAAACTCATGATGCCTATCAATGGTAAATTTCTAAAGAAATATTACACATAGGCTTCACAGTCAGATATGCCTTACAGCAGGAGAAGAAGCAAATAAAGGTAATGGTTTCCTTACTTCATTTCCTCCAAATTTTCCTCACTAATCCTCTTCAATAGGATAGTGGGACTATTATTATGTCAATTCTACCTCTGACAGCTGATGGTTTTTGCTCAAAACAGTATCTTTCCAATAGTAACCTACTATGTGATGTGTTACTTCTTTGTTTGATTCTGCCTAACATCGTCATTTCCCCCAAATGACGTTCGTTTTCCTAACTTAGGCCTATCAAGTGATGCGCCTTCGTTTCTATCACCATCGTCATACTTCTAAAGTCACTGAATGATGTGATCTTCCTAACGTCGTCATTTTCCCAAATGACGTTCGTTTCCCTAACTTAGGCCTACCAAGTGATGTGTCTTCATTTCTATCACCATCATCATACTTCTAAAGTCACTGAACGATGTGATCTTCCTAACATCGTCATTTTCCCAAATGACATTCGTTTTCCTAACTTAGCCCTACTAAGTGATGTGCCTTCGTTTCTATCACCATCGTCATACTTCTAAAGTCACTAAACGATGTAACCTTTCTAACGTCGTTATTTTCCCAAATGACGTTCGTTTTTCTAACTTAGGCCTACCAAGTAATATGTCTTTATTTCTATCACCATCGTCATACTTCTAAAGTCACTGAACGATGTAACCTTCCTAACATCGTCATTTTTCCAAATGACGTTCGTTTTCTTAATTTAGGCCTACCAAGTGATGTGCCTTCGTTTCTATCACCATCGTCATACTTCTGAAGTCACTGAATGATGTAACCTTCCTAACGTCGTCATTTTCCCAAATGACGTTCGTTTTCATAACTTAGGCCTACCAAGTGATGTGTCTTTGTTTCTATCACCATCATCATACTTCTAAAGTCACTACACAATGTGATCTTCCTAACGTCGTTATTTTCCCAAATGACGTTAGTTTTCCTAACTTAGGCTTACCAAGTGATGTGCCTTCGTTTCTATCACCATCGTCATACTTCTAAAGTCACTGAACGATGTGATCTTCCTGATATCGTCATTTTCCTAAATGACATTCGTTTTCCTAACTTAGACCTACCAAGTGATGTGCCTTCGCTTCTATCACCATCGTCATACTTCTAAAGTAACTGAACGATGTAACCTTCCTAACGTCGTCATTTTTTGAAATGACATTCGTTTTCCTAACTTAGGCCTACCAAGTGATGTGCCTTCATTTCTATCACCATCGTCATACTTCTAAAGTCACTAAACGATGTAACCTTCCTAACGTCGTCATTTTCCCAAATAACGTTCGTTTTCCTAACTTAGGCCTACCAAGTGATGTGCCTTTGTTTCTATCATCGTCATACTTTCAAAGTCACTGAACGATGTAACCTTCCTAACGTCGTCATTTTCCTAAATAACGTTCGTTTTCCTGACTTAGGCCTAACAAGTGATGTGTCTTTGTTTCTATCACCATCGTCATACTTCCAAAGTCACTGAACGATGTAACCTACCTAACATCGTTATTTTCCCAAATGACGTTCGTTTTTCTAACTTAGGCCCACCAAGTGATGTGCCTTTGTTTCTATCACCATCGTTATACTTTTAAAGTCACTGAACGGTGTAACCTTCCTAACATCGTTATTTTCCCAAATGACGTTCGTTTTCATAACTTAGGCCTACCAAGTGATGTGCTTTTGTTTCTATCACCATCGTCATACTTTTAAAGTCACTGAATGATGTGGTTTTCTCCAACGTCGTCATTTCCCCAAATGACATTCGTTTTCCCAACAAGCTTACTATGTGTTGAGTTTCGTTCTTAACACTTAGTCATATTTTGAACCTCGTTATCGTACATTTGATCTAAAGCCTAAAAAAGAGGCTAAGGATAGAAGAGAAATCTTATCATTAAAGTCTAAGAGAAACTCTTTGTCAACCCATCATACTGAGGGGAAAAGTATGGCTAGTCCAACTCAAACGACAGTTGGTAAAGACAACTCAAGTCCGTTGATAGCTGAGGGTTTGCTAAAAATCCTAAGTTAAAATGCTTCAGTTACACAAAAAGGAAGAGAACAATATGTGGATAAAATATAAATTTTATTCATATATAATTAAAAGTACAGAAACTCGAACTACATAGATTGAACTTAGAACACTCGAACTGCAATACGAGGTTCAGTTACAAATTCTTTCAGTTACAATACGAGGTTCAGTTACAAGTTCTTTTAGCTACACTACAAAGTTCAATTACAAGCTTCACGACCTTCGAGATTGCACTACGAGCCTCGTCCGTAACAACATCGTTGTCTTGTTATTGAAGTTCCATCTTCCGTTTCTGAGCATGAAGTCTTCCGCATACCTAACTTTTAACTTAGGTGCTTGTATCACACGCCTACCTACTTGGGTAAGCTGACTACTAATGGAAACACCACAAGCTCTAAACATAGGATCAGCACTTCTTCCATCTTCGTAGAACATGATGGTAGCTCTAACATTGTTGCTGACTCCTCTGAAAGAAAGCACTTCACTGAGTCTGTGAAGCGGTAGGATGTAATAATCCATTTTATTTATACCAATCATTTTTTTGAAGGCCCACATGAGGTAAAGTTTTTGAAAAAAAACCAACCAATTTTCTCAAAGGCCCATCTTAGTAAGCCCACGTGATATGGAAAAAAAAAACAAAAGCAACAAATCAATTTTCTTTAAAGCCTATGTGTGTTAAGTCATTCTAGCAAAACCCCATTAACCAATATACATCTTCATCTCTTCCTTTTGCTTATCCTTTTACAAGGGGTTCCTGAGATTTTGGGTTCGGTGGAAGAAAATTTTCCCTAACCTCCACGAATGACCTTCCACGTCCAAATCCTGAGAATCCCTATAGTTTCGTTTTGTTACAACTCGCTTCACAACAAATTAAACTTCCTTATCCTTAGGGATTTCTCCCTCAACCCATTCCTTTACCTTTTTCTCCCCATCTCTGTTTCAAAAACCTGCAGAATAAAAAAATAAAAAAAAAGGAAACCGCATTAGAGAACAAGAGAAGGTAGGGACGAGTGTTGGATTCTCTTTTGGAGGTGGGGCGCATAGTCTTCTTTCAACTAATCGGCAAGCATCCTTTTTCCTTGATTATTATTATTATCATTTCGATTTTTTCTTCATGCAAGCATTTCTTTCCTCAATTAGTATTACTATTATTTTTGGATTTATCCTTCATGCGAGCATACTTCTCTACACCTTTCTTTAAAATTTATCCTTCTAAACTTCTTGTTGAGATTGTTCATATTTTCATAATTATATGGATGACTTGCTCCTTTGTTGATAATTAATACCTTGGATTTACAGGCCATTACTATTTAAAATTACAAACTTATGTGTGTTAAATAAGAGCATTAGGGATTTTGGAATTTGCCATATACTGTTAAATTATTCCTAGCATGATTTCCTTGTTAGACTTTTTGTTTACATTGAGATTATTTTCTCTGCATGCGGACCTAAACAATTAATATATGGCTTTGTGTTCTCATTTAAATTATGTGTGTTAAACAATTAAATTATATCGCATATGAGAAACATCATTAAATAAAGGTGGTTTACTTGAGAAATTTGGCAAGTTTGAATATTTTTTTAAATCATAACAAAACTTCGCCAAATGGCCAAATCTATCACAAACATCACATTTAAAAACATGTGATCTACTAGAAACATTTGGCAAAAGAGATTTCTTTTTCAAATCAAAACAATATTTTGCCAAGTGACCAAAACGACCACATATATCACATTTAAACACATGAGCATGCTTATGATAAACTTTATGAGTGTGTGCATGTACATATGTGTGTGATGAAGAAGCCTTATGAGATGCACAAGAAGCATTAACATTAAAAGATTTGTGTGCATCATAACAAAATTTAGCAATGTAGCCTTTACGACTGCAAATTGAGCATTTGTAAATTTTGCTATACAAATGTGCATAGTGTGTAGGCGATTTTGTAACACTAAGTTTAGAACACTTGTCCATAAGTTTCTTATGGTTATCAATGCATGTATTAAGAGTTGAGTCTAAAGATGAAATACGATTTTTAACAACATTCAACTCATCATTTGGCACATATGCATTTTTATTAAAAGTAGAACATAAATAGTCATTTATAAAAGAAGCAGTATTATTTTTTATGTTCTTTACTTCTAACATGGCATTATTTTTGTCATGAGTCAAGTTAGCAATATTCAATTTCAAAATATTATTTTTCAAATTTAACATATCATTGTTTTCTTGAAGAGCAATACTTTCTTGAGAAATGATATCAAATTTGGAAGCTAACTTCTCATGATCAGATTTTAAATCTTCATGCTTGCTTTGCAAATCAATAAAATTTTTATACAATATGTTATAGGCATGCAACAACTTTTCACTAGCACAAGCAAGTTCATCACTAGATAAATCATTAGTGGTTTCGAACTCGCAAACCTCACTAGGGCTATCGCCTAGTGGTCGTGTGCATGATGCTCCATATGAACTTAAAACCGGATCCTCCAAAGCTTGTCGGATCGCCTCCAAGTTCCCTTTATGTGCTTCAATAAATTTCCATAAGGTGTAGGCACTATCAAAATGAACAAACTTGTTAGAGAGAGATGACTTAAAAGCATTTAGCAAATATTCTAACAAAATATTGTTCATAGTAATCATTCTATGATCATCTTTACTCCACTTGGATTTCTCCAAAGTGGGTACAATATAAGCACAATCTATAATTTTCCATAATTCAAAATGTTTAGAATGAACAAAAAGTTTGAATCTAACACTCCATTGGGCATAGGGAAAATTATCCAAACGATGATCAATATTAGTGGCATAACCTAAACAAGGTGCACCGTGCATATCCATAATGTATATATATGCAAGCAATGCAAAAATTAAAAATTGGATTAGCACAAAAAGATAACTTGGATCTTTAACTCAAGGCGATTAGACCTTAAATCAAATAACACCAAGCTC